GTAATCTGTCGGGATTAGGATGGTCTTTTCCATTACGTAGTTTGTTGAAAATGGACGGGCATCTCCTGTATGCTATATTGATCCCACGTTTCTTGCCAATTGCAGTGTATAATGATTTTAAATGTGGGTTATAAGTGAGGGGGATACTCTCTCTATCCTTTTTCCGTTCAATTTTCGGTATTTCCGTCAGACTATTTGCTACTTCTTGTGTACGTTTGTACCATTCACATAACCTATGTATAAGGTTGGTGTATCCATGATTAATTACTGGCTATCTCTTCTATATTCCTTATTTCTTGTGCTAGTACCAATATATTTTAATTGTGCTATTATGCTATTATATATTCCAATTGTGCTATTATGCTATTATATATTCCAGTTGTGCTATTATGCTATTATATATTCCAATTGTGCTATTATGCTATTATATATTCCAGTTGTGCTATTATGCTATTATATATTCCTTGTGCTATTATGCTATTATATATTCCAATTGTGCTATTATGCTATTATATATTCCAATTGCTTCCAATATTTCTTGTGCTATATTCCAATTGGATCCTGTGATCATTTTTCATATAATATAACAGCGTTCAGGGCAAAAAATATGTGTTAACATAACAATGCAGCATAACAAAATTCAAATAATCAGAGACTGGATAATTGACACTCTTAGTGTGATTGACAAATAGTATAATTAAGTCATAATATTTTTTTGTGAAAATTAAATTTCAAAAATGCTACAGAATTTTTTGTGATTCCGAAAGATAAATTTTTTATAACTATCATAAACTTTTGTTTATCCAGCATAATAATTTTTTTGATTAATAAACATTTTTGGCTGCCTGTCAGTCATCTTCAAGTTTATCCAATAGCAACTGAATGGAACTCTTTGTAGAAGTTCACATGAAACAGCTCATTCTAATATTTGAATATATTGTTTGATTTAACAGTTTGAACACAAACAATGGTTTACATACTTAATCGAAAACTGCATGGAGCTGACATGATTAACAACCACATGGAATAACATTACATTACATTACATTAAAAGAGTAGAGAGGTTGTCTGTATGTGCACAGACTTCACCTCTAAGAAATTAAAAGTGATGAAATTGAAATTAGTAGAGGAAGTGATAGTAAGTAGGGAGGGAAAGAATATAGGGAAAGTGAACAAGTAAAAATACAAGACAAAATATGTACAGTGAAACAGTATAAAAACAAACATGACAAGTTTGCATGTGTGAGTGAGCGTGTCAGCAAAGGGGGTATCAGACACAAATTTTTTTAAATTACAAAGTACACGATTTATGACCTCTTTATATATATAATTTATACAAATACCGACACTCAATAAAGGAGTGGAGTATCTATCTACCTTCTCAGCAATACTAGCTACTTAATAATAAACCTCACACACCTGATTTGTATTTGCCGAGTTATTTTCATTGTGCAAACGTTTTCGGCCAATTTATATAGGCCATCTTCAGGCTTTAACGTTGTTCGTTCGATGGAACCGATAGTTCAAAATTCATTTGAATTTGAACTTTTAACAACGTATGTGTATAATAAATAATTAAGAATAATATCAAAACTTGTTGCAACTTAACAATAACATGAAAAGCGTAAATTAAAATAAATATATGATAAAGTGTAATCTAAAATCACGTTTCAATTTAACCATGAAACAACAAAAAACAAAAAACAAAACAAAAATTTTAACAACTTTCACTGAGTTTGAACTACTAAAGCCTAAAAAACTCCAGATCATAAAAATGTTTATGGATTATTAAAACCCATACTTTTCTCAATTTTATATTTCCAAGCCGTTGGTAATGCTTTTGCATCTTTTGCATTTAGGCATCTGTTTTTCATCTTACTTTTGTAAATCTCTATTTTCTCTATTTCCATTGCAATGGAAGGTGAGTGCCCCATCCTAATAATCTTGGCTTCATCCCATTTGACTACTGATTCGTCTGACTGTGCCATACTTGCTAATATCGTGCTACTCAGTTTTTTATTTATACTATATTTGTGCTCCTTTACTCGTACTTTCAGGTTTCTTCTGGTTACTCCTATATAGTCTTTCTCAATACCTAACTGTTGGTTCTCAAAGGGAATACTGTACACACCCGGTTGCTATTCCAACTTAATTTTGTCCTTGTCGTTTCTTAATAATCTATAAATATTGGGTGCTCATTTATAGATTATCTTTGCGTTTTTGTATTTTCCTAACTCCTTCACCACCGTCCTCATTTGTTCATTGTATGTGAACTTATTGAATGTAGTATTGTTGTTATGTTTTGCATTTGTAGCTTTTTGTTTACCGTAGGTTTTTACAAGGCCTTTGATTGTGGACTTTCTGTATCCTAAACTCCTTGCTACCTGTTGAATTCTATTAATTTCTTTATCCTGGTCTTGTACATTGGTGCAGTACAAGAAGGCCCTTTTGATCAGTGCCTTAAACGCAGATAATTGATATTTATACGGGTCTTTTGACCATGCAGGTATATATAAAGGAGTGTGTGTTGGTTTCAAATGTACACTCGTTTATATGTTTCCTAGTTTGAATTCCATGTTAATATCCAAGAAATGTTCTTTCGGCTTTTTTGTTCTAATTTTAGCTTCAATCCATGCTCATTGTTGTTGATTGCTGTTAAGAAATCATTAATGCGTTGGTCATTTTTCCAAATTATTAATATATCATTAATGTAGCGTTTGTATATTACGATGCTATCAGAGAAATCCTTGAGGATGTTCTTTTCCAATTTCCTTATTACAAGTTCACATAGGAGTCCTGACATAGGACTTCCCATGGGAACTCCTTTCGTTTGCTTGTATATCGTTCCATTAAATTTGAAAAATGAATGAAAACAAATCAGTTTTGCCAAATCTTGCAAGTTTTCTATGAATTTTCCCACTTCTTGATTTTGTTGTATTAAGAATTCAATTAATTCGTTGAAGCACGATGTTAGATTTATGGAGGGGTACAGATTTTCAAAGTCCATCACAGTTCCTATTTCATCGTTCATTAAATTTAAGCTTCGTATTTCTTTTATTACTTTAGTTGGATCATGGGTCACAAAACTATTATCTTCCATTTTTGTACTTATCTATTTTTTTAAACGTTTTTCCAGTGTGTACGTTGGTGCGTTATTCTTCTCTACCACAGGCCTGACTTCTTTGTGCGTTTTCGCGAATGCGAATAATCTAGACATCTGTGGATTGGGGTTATGTGCTCTTTTCAGGAACGTTAAGACGGACGACAGTGGTGTTTTTTCAATCTTTCTAACCTTTTTATCCGTGCTTGAAATTATGTTTTCATCTACAACTTCACATTCGGTTTTTTTGATATACTTCTCCATTTCTTTATTGTAGTGTTTTCTTTCCATAATGACCATTTGTTTGGTTTTATCTGCTTTTGTTAATACTAATTGACTCTTGTTTAACCATTCTTTTGTGCGTTTTATACCCAATTGCTCTTTTGCATTTAGGACAGATGCCTAAATGCAAAAGATGCAAAAGCATTACCAATGGCTTGGAAATATAAAATTGAGAAAAGTATGGGTTTTAATAATCCATAAACATTTTTATGATCTGGAGTTTTTTTAGGCTTCAGTAGTTCAAACTCAGTGAAAGTTGTTAAAATTTTTGTTTTGTTTTTTGTTGTTTCATGGTTAAATTGAAACGCGATTTTAGATTACACTTTATCATATATTTATTTTAATTTACGCTTTTCATGTTATTGTTAAGTTGCAACAAGTTTTGATATTATTCTTAATTATTTATTATACACATACGTTGTTAAAAGTTCAAATTCAAATGAATTTTGAACTATTGGTTCCATCGAACGAACAACGTTAAAGCCTGAAGATGGCCTATATAAATTGGCCGAAAACATTTGCACAAAGAAAATAACTCGGCAAATACAAATCAGGTGTGTGTGGTTTATTATTAAGTAGCTAGTATTGCTGAGAAGGTAGATAGATACTCCACTCCTTTATTGAGTGTCGGTATTTGTATAAAGTATATATATAAAGTGGTCACAAATCGCGTACTTTGTAATTGTTAAAACATTGTGTCTGTACCCCCCTTTGCTGTACACATTCACCCACATGTGCAAACTTGTCATGTTTGTTTTTATGCTGTTTACTGAACATATTTTGTCTTGTCACTGTATTTTTACTTGTTCAACAATTATGATGCAGACACTCAATGATCTGACACTTTCCTTTAATCTTTCCTATTTTCTTTCCCTCCCTACTTACTATCATTTCCTCTTCTAATTTCAATTTCGTCACTTCTAATTTCTTAGAGGTAAAGTCTGTGCACACAGAGACAACCTCTCTACTCTTTTAATGTAATGTAATGTAATGCTAAATATGCTCAAGATATTCTTAGTTTATGTTGATAAAACCATAGCTACAGAATGAAAATTCATCCCTTTCTTAAAGGAAATAAAATTATTATTTAAGAAAGGGATGAATTTNTAAATAATTTTAGAAGGTTCTGGAAGAAAGAATTGGCCCAGAGCAGGATACAAAACTGCAACTTCCACTTACCATCTAGTAGTGTAACTGGTGCTTCACATCTATCTCTAGGGCCAAATTATTTAGCATTTAATTATTTATACTAGTAGTAATATAGCTCTATATAATCTGGCAATTGTTTAGCTTTAATATATAACTATTATGTTTTAGATGTTGATATTTATTTTAATTGAATCTATCATTTTGGAATCTTCAAGTTGGATCAGCAAGATTCTGAAATATAGATTCAAGTGCATAATTCCTTCAATTTAATAATCTAGAAGAAAAAATAAACAAATTTTTAACAAATTTACCACTTTTTTATGCAAGTTACTGCAGAGATGTCTTGTTACAACATAGAAATTACAATATGGTTCCAAAGTATGATTATCCTGTAATATGAAATGTATTTTATAATATATAAATATTAATATTTAAAAATTTATTTCTTATAATTGTTATTACTATTTAGGGATCTGGAACGCCACAGTCTCCAATGATGTCACCTTCTCCCATTGGTCCATCTCCATCACCTCGAATGCCACATTCTCCATCTCCATTAATGCAGAATTCACCTGCTACAATGTCACCTTCACCATTAATGCAACAACAGTCTCCTCTTGGACAATCTCAAATATTATCTCAATCAGTAACTCAAGCTGAACATATATCTCGTCCTCATCAAGTTCATATTTCCCAGGTTGTTATAAACTAATTTGAAATTTAATAATTCAATATAATACATTGTGATAAACATCTTATTTGCAATTAAACTTGCATTTAGGAATAGTTCAATTTATATTAATATTAAGTTTAAAAATATCGACTAACACTGGATGACACAAATATACAATCACTACATACCCAAAAATCAAGCAGAGAATGAAAATTACATAAGAAAAAAAAATTTGTTCTTATGCACTGTATTATTCATTCTCTGCTGGATTTTTGGATATGCAGTGATAGTTTATCTATATTAATATTATATCCTAAATAAAACTATAAATTTTGATAACTTATGGGTATTTAATAATTTAATTAAAATTATTTTTAATTATCTAGGAACTCTAGATAATTTTGAAAAACAATTGTTATTTATCATTATATTTCTAAGATTCAAAAGCAATTTTTTAATGAGAAGAATCAATGCATAAAATTATAAAGTTTTTTAGTACAATTACTTTATTGTGATTTTGATGTTTGTTGAATTAATTAATCACATTATTTGACATATTATTTTTGTATCTTTGCTTTAACTTAAAACAGAGTTGCAAAAAAGATGTATTTTGATAATTGATTATTATTATAAATGAATAAAAAAGTTAAAATGTTTTGAATTTTTTGAGATATTTTATAAAATTATTTATATGTTATTTAAGTTTCCAAATAATAATATTGCATGTAACTAATTTCAGCATAATTCATAGTGAAATAAACTATGAAGTAATGCAACACTGAAATAATGGTATATGAATTTTAATCTATTTTTATGAAGAGCTTTAAGAATGCACTCCTTTATTTACATAAAGTATCTAATATAAACAATAGTATAATAACTTATGTATTTTTATTTAATATAGGATGATAATAATCCTTTTAGTGAAAGTTTTCAACAAAGAGAACAACTTGAAAAACTTCAAGGTCATCTTACAAACACTCACCAAAATGATTCGGAAATTATTCAAAAAGGTACATTAAATTTTTATTATACATTAAATGATTCTTTTTCTTAAATATTAGATATAATAAAGTATTGAATTGAATTTTTTCTAAAATGCAAATTAATAATTCAAAATTTAAAACATGATATATATTTAGCTGCAAAAATAAATAATTGTTTATATTTTATAACATTTTCCATGCTTACGATAAAAATTTCTGAAATGAATCATTACATAAAAACTTATACCTTATACAATGCATAAATTTTACAAACATTTTATAAAAAATGTACTTTCATAGAATGTTTTGGTATGCATTTTACATCATCAGACCCAATAATGATACATTAAAAATACATTAAAAAATTTAAATACTAAAATTATAATTATGTGAAACAAACATATTCAAATAAATATTTATTTACAGAATACTTCATCATGTGAATAGAATTTAATTTATGCATTATTTGTTTTCAAAAGTCACATATAGAACTGTAATATTAATCTCTTAGAAGTTGGCATATATACTTTATTAATTATTTTTTTTTTAAATTGTCTACTTGGACATTAATCATTAATAGTCCTATTAATGGGTAATGTTTAACACCTTTAGTTCCCAGCAGTTTTTGATATTAATGTAATTAAACATAAAAAATACTTAAAACTGGAAAAAAAACTGAAAGAAATGCCTTAATTTTGAAGAAAAAGCTTCAAACTTTATTTTCCTTTGTCTCGCCTTTCTGCGAAATATGACACCGATGAGTCATTGTTTATATAGCTGGATGACCTTGAACACAGCTGGAGTTGGATTTTCCAGGACATTCTCATAGAAGTCTAGGGAGGTGATGGGTTTATAGTAGGGTGAATACTAGCTGGCCATATATTTTTTAATATTTTAAAAAATTCAAATTTTAATTGCGATTTCCAACCGCCCCCCGACTTAATGAAACGTATATATAGTAAAATATATTAATTAAAAAAATTAAAAAACTATTGGAGGTGGTTTTTGACATCAGAAACTAGCTTTAAATAACTTTACCAAAGGAAAATCTGTGCACTACAACTTTAGAACAATGAATTAAATTTGATAAAAAAATCCCATTAAAAAACAATTAAGCGTTAATCGTGCGTCGTTAAAGGTAGATTAAAATCGCAATGAAATTTTTTCGCGTGGGAAAAAAATTTTGAAAAAATTTGGAGACTTAAAAAACATTCCAAAAATTCAAAAAAAAACCAAAAATTTTTTGCGGGGCTGAAAGGACTGAGTTTTATGTAACGCTATGTAACCTGCCCGAGTTAACTCAGGTGAAGAACTAATAAAGGGATTAAGTAGACAATTAAAAATAAGGACTGTAAGGAAATTATAATATATACTTTATATTTTACATATACCAAGCACACAGTTAAATTTAAAATGTCACTAATACTTTATAAATACTATATTACTACAATAGTCAATAGAATAATGCAATTATACCAATTTTTTATTATTTTAATACATAAAAATATTGTCAACAAAAAATTACTAATGTAACTACATTAGCTATATTTCAAATTATCAATTGGTTTATTTATTTCAGTCTGTTATGAAATTTTCTGCATATTTTTTATTAGATGTTAAATTTTGTATATAATAAATTGGTTTTTAACTATAATATTTATTTACACAACATATCTCAAAAAATCCTTATCTAAAGATCTGACTTAATTGCTGTAAATCATCATTGATTTCTTCTCATGAGCCCATACCTCATTGCATATTTACTTCTATATTTTATCTCGTAGTTAAATATTTTAAGAAATTTGCTGAAATTCAACTTTTTGTCAGCTACAAATTGTTATTATCCAAATCAACTACTTATTAAATAACTGATTTTACTAAAGAAAGAATTGTAGAAAATGTGTATTAAAGAAATGAGGATCTTTTACTGTTTTGAAATATTTTCATATATGGCAAAATAGTGACAAAATAAAAATACCATATGAACTATTTTCCACATATAGAATAGTAAAAAGACAATAAAAGGAAGTCCAATTAAAGTACATTTGTTGATTTTAACATCACTATCTTTCAGGAATATGGTTGTTAAAGAACAGCTATTAAAATTAAATTAAGACATTTACAGGAGTTGAACAAAGCGAAAGATACTGTTATTTCAAGATTTTAATTATTGTAATTTTAAATGTCTTTAATAACTGTATTCCTGAATTCATTGAAATTAAATCATTGAAAATACTTGAATAAAACTTGTTTTATTGTTTTCTCTACTTGAATATCAAGAAAACAAGTTATATTTTACATGTTTAATGTACTTGGTGTGTAAATAACAACACTTTACTTTGAAATATACAACTTTAAAAATCATTTTTTGTTTTTTTATTCCAAAATATTAATAAATATTTTGGTTTATTATTTTAAAGTTCTGTACTAATAAGTACAGAACTTTAAAATAATAGCATCAGCTGGTACTTGGTAATATTAGACTGTATTTTAAAATTTTGGAGTAAAGATAAAAAAAAATGCAAGTATCTGCAAATATTAAATCAATAGATATAGGCTCATATCTTTTGATATCTTCTGAACTGTACATTATATATATGTGTGTGTATAGTTTATAATGTACAGTACAGTACAGTACATTAACTTTCATAAAAGAAATTGTTATATAATATTCTCTACTATATTATCTTTAATTAATTATCATGTCTTTATTTAATGCTTTATATGTTACAAAAAATGTAATATAAGCTACAACTTTTTTATTGTATATATTTATTAATCAAAACTAATATGTTTGCTACTTTTTGATAAACAGATGCAGCCTGCATCAAATAGTTATGTCATAAACTGTTATTAATGAGTAAAATTATTTTATTTTTGATTGAATTCTATTATCTTCATTGAACATTTTAGACATTTTAATTGTGCAATTAATTTTCAATTTATGTAATTTTTTTAAAATTTGATATTGGAAATAAACTCAGAGTTTATTTCCAGGTTGATGCTGAACAAAATGCTGATATTGAGGTGATTGAGTTTTATTGACATAGTATATTATTAATTCATTATTTAAAATTTAGTAAATTTATATATAATTACATTTTAAAAATTCCTTATTAGCCTTTTTTATTTATTGAAGAAATGTAGTTAATTAATGTATAATGTGCAAAATAAAATTAATTAGAATTTTTTTAGGCTAAATTAAATTAAAGAAATAAGCAAAAATGCCATTTTCTGGGACATAACACTTTCATTTATATTGTTACTTAATATTTATTTATGGCATTATTTATCTCTTTTTATCTCAATTTAGAAATGACTTGGGTTGATATAAAACTTTAAGAATTACATTCTAGTTAGTGGAAACCAATTTCTAGCAGTAGTTTATAGTTAAATCTTGAAACTGAGTATATTGATTTCTACAGGAAATATATTCTAAAATGAAAAAGAAGTATAACAAATCTTGAATCACTCTGTTTGAAAGAAAAGTAGTAAATAAGTTTAAAATATTATATGGAGTAATTATGTGAATTCCTTTTTAATGAATAATATTTAGCAGTTTTTCAATATAAAGGTATTATTGTTGTTGAAATATTTACACTTATATATTACTGATATATCACAAAGTGATTATAATAGATATATAACATGTATGTAATAAATTATGTTTTAAACTAAAGAAATAAAATTACATAAAGCATATAGTATATATCATATCCCTATTATAGTTTTATTATTAATATCTATCTATATATAAAAATTTAAAATATTTAAAATTGTATAAAAGAAAATATATTTGTATGTAAGTTCTGCAATGAAATTATTTTATATAAAAATGACTTATAATAAAAATATATTTTGAATTCTGATTTTATTTTAAAATTAGGATGTATATGAATATATACAAAATTAAATATTTATAATCATTAAGTTAGTATGTTACCTAGAGTAACAAAAATATTTTATTTTATGGTTGCACATGGTTTCGATAATTTTTATTTCAAGTTTTTTAATACTCATTAATCAATAACATATTAAAGTATTTCAATATTTATGTTTTATTTTTCATAAATTAGTTTTTCATTTTATTTATAGATTTGAATTCAGATCTTGTTGGTCAGCCATTTCCATCACTTCCTGGAAATTCTCAAATTCATCCTCAAACTTCCAATTTGCATGCTGTAAGTGGATCAGCTGTACGACCTCCACCACCATATCCTCATCATTTACGTCCAGCACCTTCTTTGTTACCCACAAATGTTAATTCTACATTGAAATTAGAATCAACAAACATTTCATCTCAGAATCAGAATTCATCATTTGTAAATTCTTCTAGTTTGCATAATGTTTATAGATCAGCTCCTCCTCCAAACATTACCCCGTATAGAGAGTTAATATGTCAAGAACAATCTATCCGTACTGGAATAGTCTCAATAAATTTATCCTCAACAGAATCTTCAACCTCTATAAATTCTGAAATCAACCAACAAACCCCAACTACTTTCTCTTATGTTATCAGAGGTACTGAGATTCAACCAATGCAATTAAAAGAATCAAATAAACAAGAAAATGAACAACTTAAAATTGCAGAATTTTCTTCTTTAAATAATGCACAGTGTTTTCAAAGTGATAAAGGAGAAGTAAATGAAGAACAAAAATCTAGTTTTCAACTAGAATCTGTTTCTAATGAAACAAATGAAAATGCCTGTAATGTACAAATTTCAAATTCTGAAAATCAAAGTATCAAAAGTGATGCTATTCAGTCTGTGTTTCATCAAACAGATAAATGTGCCAAAGTTGGCATTAATACAAAGAATAGTTCTGCTCTAACAAATAATCAGAATGTGACATTACAGTTACAAAATTCTACTACTATAATAAATACACAGAATAGTTGGACAGTAAATAATAGTGGATCAGAAGAAAGTGCTCTTACATCACTAAAAATTTGTTCAAATAAATCTATCTCAGATAATCAACTTAAAGCTGAACCTGAAAATGCTTCAGGTGATAATGATAACAGTACTGAAAGTGATTCAAAAAGTACAGTTTATAAAAAAGAAATTGAAAATAATATACAAACAGAAAAAGTATGTGATAAAGATAAAATTTTCAAACAAGAAAATACAAAGATTGGAGATAAAGAAACATTAGATGAGAATTCTGAAAAGAACAAGGATAACAGTAATACAATGCATTCACAAATAAATATTAAAACTGAAGATTTAAATGTAGAACATAAAATTGAAAATGATAAAAATTTAAACTCTTCTATATCTGATATTATAAAAGATGAACCATCTGTATCTGAAGGTAAATTTTAAACTCTAGTTACAATTTTTATGATTATGAAATATGAAGCATAAATGATTGTAATATATACAATTTACAGGATTTTATAGATATAAACTTTATATAATAAGATACTGTATATTTCAAAATTTTTTAATGCTTTAGTTATTTAAGATTTTATATAGAACTGAATGTTTATCATAATTCTGTTTGTTTATATTCTGTTTGTTAATATGAGCATAGAGTCTAACATTTTTAAATTCAGAAAGTTACTTTATCCGAGTGTGTTTTTAAAATTTTATGAATTTAAAAATGTTTATTTCATGTTCACATAACTTATGGAATTCTAAAGGTGATCAAAATTTACTTAAAAAGGTTTAATTTTATGTAAAATTTAGGAAATACTACAGAAGTAATGTTGAAAGATTAAACAGAAATTGGGTATAAAGAAATTAAAACAAATTAAACTTAAAACCTAAACTTTTAATTAAATATACTTTGTTTAACAATAAATAAATACAATAATTTTTACAGTAGTTTTTGAAATCTTCCAATTTTGGCATCATCATAATAAAAACAGATATTCAACACTGCTTATTAAAGTAATCAACTACAGGTAACCCCTGTATAGCATGGGAGTTACGTTCCAAAAAATTGCTGTGTTATGCAAATCCGTGTTATACGAAACAAAGAACTAGTGCGAAAAGGAGGGTTAGGTTCCAAAAATTAAAAAACACGCTGTTAAATCCTTATTTAAATTGTATTTATTATTCGTTTTTGTCATAGGTAAATTACTTATTTATTATTTAAGTAAATATTTTACCAGAGGATTATTCATCCTATATGATCTCAGCATGCGCATCATCAACTGGTAACGGTNTATATTGAAAAATATAAAAATAATAAAAAATTATACTTCAGATGTTAATTTAGTATCAAAAACGTAAAATATTTGAGTAGCCCAAGACATAGCCAAAGATTGAAGCGCCACAGCACTGGCGAAAATTTAAATTTGCCGACTGGAATTCTTTCGGATGATTGACTTTCGGAAAATCGACGCTCTACTGTATTTCAATTATGAAAAAATCTTTCCAGCTTCATTTAAGCCATCTTCAGTTTTACAACTTGTTCCAATGAATGTTGATTTATAGAATTTAAAATACCTTAAAAATAAATGAATTAAATATCAACATTTAAAATCCAATGGTTATATATTAAAAGCCAAAAGACTGCCAGAAAAATAATTGTAATTATTAAATTTAGCAAGAAATGGCACCTAACACCTATCTCTTGTGCCAAATTATTTAGCATTTATTTAATTAATAATAGTAATATAGCCCAATAAAATCCAGCAATTGTTTGGCTTTAATAAATGAGTCAAACAAAACATCAATTTTGAACTTTTTAAGAAATGTTTAAAACTTTTATAATTAAACATTAATTTTAAGTTTATGGGTTAGTGAAATACTTAAAAGTTATGAATAGTAATGATGTTAGGAAACTAAGTAACAACTGGAAATCAATAACTGATAACAGCAACTTTAAAAATATTGCTAACAAAATAATTAAGAAAAATATTTAATTATATGCTGTAATAAATCTGTGCAATATCACATTAGGTTGTTAAAAAATTTAATTCTCACAAGATCAGCATTATGGTAAATGTTGTTGACTATTTGTGATTGTGAGAATCTGGGTCTCTGGGATAACCCCGTTCTGCATTCAGGATAAATAATATGGAATAAAAGAAAGTTAGGAGAAATCTTTCTCTAAAAGTCCTAACACCAGTTATGATGAATTATCTTGTGTCCTAACTTACGAGTTAGTTCCTTTCTGAGTGGAAAAAGTATTAGAAGTTTGATTAGAATTTTAGGAGGATTTTAATTGAATTTCTAATAACATGGGATATGTGAATTACATAGATTATGTGGGCCAAGGATGGAGTTAGGAATTAACAAATCAAATGCAATGATTAAAGAACAAATTTATTAATAAGGAAAGTTATTAGACAAATGATAATTATATAAAATTATGGTATTATAACAAAAGGAAATCTTGAAATTATAAATGATCTAAAGGAGATAAAATAATGACAATCTATTTCCAACTGCTTTTCTATATGAGAAAGTTTAAATATGAAAATTATATTACACTGGATGTAGAGAGTTGGAAGTTCTTGGGAATGAGTAAAGTAGGGAACTGAAAGAGGGATGAGAGCATTGGCAAGGGTGCCTTAGATAGTGTGTGTTTGAAGGTGACCTCTTACCTTTAATACTAAAATTTCATCTAATAGAATCATTATAAATAACCCTTCATACTTTCACTGTGTGTTGGAAGTCATGTGGTCCCACAGAGAGCCAGACATTCACTCAAACTATTTCTTTTGGAGGAACTGTTTTCTTCTCTGTGAGAAACAGGAAGTTTCCTTTTTAACTTTATCAAACTTTGTGACAGACAAAATTTATATAAATTATTTTAAATGAATTTGTCAAGAATATAATCTTTCAACTTCAGATTCTCACATGATGTACTGTATTGTTAAAACATTTTTAATTTTTATATTTTAATTTAAAAAATTTCTTTAAGTATAATTTCTTAAAATATTTAAACTTCTTAAAAAATTTCTTTAAAAAGTTTAAATATTTTTTTTTTTTAATTTTTTTGATTTGTTTATTTTTAAATTTTTAAAAATTCTATGATTTTCAACGTTCATTGGAACAAGTAGTAAAGCTGAAGATGGCTAAAATAAAGCTGAAAGCATTTTTCATAAATAAAATAGTTGGTTATCTTAACAAGCAATGTCAAAGAACTTTTTATTTTTCAGTGGTATTCACTAAATTAATTTATTCAGAAATTTTGATAAAATATTCAATAATAATAATAATTCATTATCATTATTATTGAATATTTGAAATCAATTTAAATTTTTAATAATATAAATTTTTTTAAAATTTTGATCACATTTTTTTATTGATTTTTTTTATACAAATGTAATCTTATACTATAGGTTCAAAATACAACAGTTAGAATTTATAAGATTTTATATAATTAGAATAAGTGATGTTAAATCAATAATTTAAAAAAAGTATTACTTTTAAAAATGCAAGTTAGTTTATTTTTATGTACAAAATATTTTTTTGTTGCAAATATCATAAATTTTATCTAATTTAGTTATGATTAAATTTTATTGTACTGTACATATTTGTTCAAAGTGTTAAATGCTTTTTTAATCAAATGATATCAAATCAGTTGTTTGTATCATTATAAATTTTTTAATTTAAAGAAGTTTAATAATTTTTTATTACATTGAACATTTTCAAACTATTAAAAATAATTTTTAATCTTATCTTTAATATCAAGTACTAATAATTATTAATGCTTATCTTTAAATGTATTTATTTAATGACTTTTATAAGAATGTGTTCCAAACTTACACTTTAAAATTTTGAAAAATTTTAATGTGAAAATCATAAAATTATTAATTATGATATTAATTACTTTTGAAGTTTTGGAAGTTTTAAGAAATGTTATGTTTAAAGTAACAAAATATCAATTTTAACATTCTATTATAACCAAAATATTTAATCAATTGATCTATTCAAGTGTTGCTATACTGCTACACTTAAATAATATATATACTGAATGATTATTACATTAGGAACACCTGCTTAATAACAGGTTTGTCCACTTTTCTTCTTGATAACCGATTGCAAATGCCAACATATGGACTCTCCAGATTCCAAACATCCTCTATTCTTAACTGAATCCATGCTTGTCAGTTGGTGCACATTTTGCAGATAAGTTGGTGAAAACCTCATCACAAGTTCCAGCATACTACAAACATGTTTAATAGGATTGCACTCTAGTGAGTTTGGGAATCAAGGAAGTGTGTGGAATTTATTGTAGTGTTCCTCCAACCATTCCCAAATGAACCACAGCTGCTGATATGGTGTATTATCATGTTGAAACATGGCATCATTGTCAGGAAATATAGCTGCAGGGTGCAGATGATCACTTAACAGGTATCTGTATTGTTCACCATTCAATGATTGTGGGATAACAACTAATGGCCCTAGGTCTTTCCAAGAGAATGCTCCCCAGATCGTGATATCATTGCCACTTCCACCAATTCGTTTAATTCTAACTGTGCAACCAGGGTATGCAGCTTCATGCTGTTTATGCCAGATTTGGACCAGACCATTAGCATGGTTCAGCATGAAATGAAACTCGTCACTCCAGATGACCCTCTTCCACATGTCCAAGGTCCAATGACACCTTTCCCTTGCCTATGCAAGGCATTGCTTCTAATGACACATGGTCAACAGAGGCACTCCTGCAGGTTGATGGTTAAAGAAGTTCGGTTGATGAAGGTACATCACATGGTCATTGTTGAAACACATTTGCCTTGTCTACTGTTGTACTGGTGGTTAAGCTGTTCCACTGTGGCACAGGCCCGCCGTAAGCAGGCGTGCACCGCACACGGGCGGCACATCCAGGGGGCAGCAAATCGAGCAATCGGTCAAGAATTATTCAAAGTCATTGTCATAATACCCACCCTACTTATAGCATAAGAAATGTCTTCTCATGAAGAAAAAAAATCTGACCGGCACGTAATTACTATATTCTTATTTATATTATAGTTTAACAGTGCCTCTATTGGCATTTATCAGAATTAAGATGCAGTGTGAAACGTCTGTCGGCAGATTGAACCATCCGGCGGTGCCTGAAAGGCAAAGTACCCATAGTCGTGCTCTATGACACAAGTTGACAGGACTGGCGAAAATAGGGAATCCCCACATAACTTCCTTCTCAGTTTGTACTTGTACGCATTCAAACAGTTCTATCGCATGTCAAATTGCAATTATTTTGTTAATAATTCTTCCGACATTGGTCTAAGTATAATTAATGATATTTTAACTTGGTTAGGATTTAAATCTGAAACTTAAAGACGATTCAAGTAGTGAAACAGACATTGACGGTATTGATTTGTTTAATGAAATCAATACTTTAAAGTTGCATTT